GGCCACCTAAATTAGGACCCGGAGACTGCCAGATGACCCCGCTCGGAGCGCCGCACACCGAGCAGCAGTGACGCGACGCTCGGCGAGGTAAGTAAGAAGACGCGCTGGCGCTGACTCGAGTATAAGCCGAGGGGGGCACTTTTCACCCAAAAAAATGGGCTGAAAATCTCGGCTTATACTCGAGTATATACGGTAACACTAACAGTGTTTTTCACTACAGGGTGAAGAGTTTGGCGAAGACAGGAGAAGAGAACTTACCTGAATAGGAAAGTGAACTGAATTGGAGATTTTTTCCAAATCAGCCATATTGTTCACTTCTCGTGCCTTCTCCAAACTCTTCACCCTTTAGTGAATAACCCTGAAAGTGGTTTAGTTGCAATGGTGGTAAAAGAAGGATGTGAATAATATTTATAAACAAGGCTTTGCTATCTCATTTGTTAAAATGCACGAAGAGCACTAAATGATTTCTGTTTCATAATTTCTGGTTTCATTAAACATTTATATCTTTGGCTACATAATAACATAGCAAATGATGTCTGGTGGTATCAGTATGCTCAGGCTGAATCAGCAGGGATTTTTCTGATTGTTGTGCACACAATTCCCAGACATTGCATTTTTCCCCTATTACATGTCACCTCCCCCCCCTTCCCCAGCGCTTATATAACACTGTTGCACAATTGATGATGTTCTATGTTTGGCACTCACTCATTACAGGCAGCGTTTCCTCTGCTTAGGATGTAGCTGTCAGAGCAATGAGTGCAGCAAGTGCACGCAGCAACCTTTCATGTGGCACAGATCGTAGGACATTGTACGAACACAAAATCTCTGCCATATCTTTATCAACAGTGCAGTATTTATTTATTTGAATACAAGAGACTCTTAGTGCAACAACACTAGCGCCATTCTGCTATTGTTTTCTTCAAACACAAGGCCCCGAGAATGGCATTGATTCACAGCTTGCTGGTGTTTACCACTGGGAAATCTGAAATGACATCAGCTTGGATCTCTTTGCTTAGATTTTCCAATTTAGGCCAGTTCATAGGCAGATCTGACAAAGAAAAACAGCATATATAAATAATTAGATGCTATAACAGAGAAATGCAGAAATATAAATAAACTGCCACATCTATTGGCTTCATCAGCAAACTGCTTATCCTACTGGAGAAAAAAAGCGCGCTAAAGGGGACTAATCATTGATATTTACATCTAATATGAATGAATGAGGTATGTGTAAGCATTGACAAATCATATAATTAATTCTATATATTAAATATATAGATACAGTATATATTTCTCCTGAGAATGTGCTCTAGCAGAGTTTAGGAGAGCATTCTTGTGGGAGTTTGAGTGCACAGCATTCACAGGAGTCAGCAATGAGGAAATATATTTTCTTTTTTTCCCCACATATGGATTTTTTTGCAGGTTTCTTCCCCTGCTTTTTATTTGGGGGTAGGGGCACTGTAAAAAGCAGACTATGTATTATTCAAGGAGTGCTTTAAAGTAGTCCTTTCCATTTATCAAACATTTCTCATAATGGTACCTTAATTCACTCAATAAGTTGTCAAATTTACTCCTTTTTTCAAATGGAGATTTTGAATTTTTGTTAAGAAGGCAAGCTTGTGGGAGCCCAATGGGTAAATAATTGAGTCTTTTGTCCACTGACTATGCACCAGTGAGTTTTAGATCTTATACATAGTTTATATTTGGCAGCAGTTTCTAAAAAGCTTGCACAAAGGAAAGGGTTGAGGTAATGCTGCTTCAACTATCCAGTATGCCCTATGCTTGAGTATAGCTACACTTGTTTTTAAAAACTACCAGCAGCTGTAAATTATTTACAAAAACATAACAAAAGTTCTGTAAAATGTACACTACATACAGCTTAACCCTTTCGCTGCCAAGGACGTACGGCATACGGAGCTACAAAAGTGCTTCCCACTGGCCAGGTCAGTATGCCGTACGGACCTGGCATTTACAGTTCTACTATAAGCGACCATCAGCTTATAGTAGAACTGTATATCACCCAAGCATGTAATTTAAAGAATTGGTGTTTTCCCCATATCACTCTCAAATTTGCATATAACCGAGGGCACTTCCCTGCTGAACAGTATTTTTTTAATGTATTGGTACATGTCCTGCATGGCAGTGCCCAGCTCCCCATGCCCTTTGTTTGACAATCCCTTGTTTTTTTAGCTTAGAAAATGGCTAGTCTAAATATCATTACATAGACGTTTTATTGAAAGGGGTGCTGTAAGAGTACTGGTCACTCCCTTGTCATTTCTTTAGACTCTTACCTAGGTGCTTGTTAAGAAAGTGCAGAGATGAAACAACAGAAATCTTCAGGCACGTTTTCGGATCCATTGTCCCTTGTGAGCCTAAAATTTTGTTTGCCAGATAGCCACTCAAGAAAGCTATATCAGTCTGGCTACTATGGACACAGCCCCTAGAAGCAAAAAAAATATCATAATGTTTAGCATGAAATGGAAAACTTATTTAAGCTGAGCTCCAAACAGCTAAATACACAGATGAAATCCATATATAGGAGCTGTTTTACTTGCCAAAGGATTTGTATTTCTGCCGTTCCAGTCCTAACATTTACACAGCCCTATTTGATAGCACAGCCCTGTCTAGCAGTGCAGAAGACCTAATTTTCCTGCTGCAGTTCAGTTAACACTTATGGGCCTTGTTCCTCACTCACTCTGTGACTGGTGGAACTCAGAAGCACTGCTGCCTTAGGCAGTAATTGACAGCTCACTAGGCCTGCCCTTCTGCACCCACGGCCCACCCACCTCCTTGATGCCACTGACATTCAGGTGCCAACCCTCCTACCAGTTTGCATTAGCCCACCATAGGCCTGCGGCTACGGACATCAGTGTTTTACTTGAAGAAGCCTGTCCGGCTTCTCTCTTCTTCCTCTAATGCTGACCATACACTACTCAATTCCCCCATCTTCGATTCCCCTTCTGCTGGGCTATTGTATTCTGACAGCAGTGGGCGTGCCGCCCTCAGAATACCTGAACGGTGATTGCAGCTGATTGGTTGTTCGGCCATGAATTTTTAAGCCAGTTCCTTTGGCAAAAGTTGATTAAAAAAAGACAGAGGAACAGTGATGGTGCCGCATACTGCTTTAATCTTGGCCGAGTAAGCAGGACTTAAGTGTAACTGCCAGTTGCAGCTGGTATGCATGTAAAACGCCTGCGTTTCTGAATGATAGTATGTCATAGGTATGGATAAGGAAAACTTAGCAGGCTATCTTGGTGGTGATAATGAATCCGCATGAGTGTTATACAAATTGAGTTGTGCACTTTAAGACAGATTATTATTTGCCTTTCATTGAATGGACAGGATTTGGCAAATACGTGAGAATAATATTTGATGCAATATTTCCTTATTGATGAAGAAAAATATCCCTCATGTTCTAGAATCACTTCTACAAAATTTCATAAAACATAGGGGAATATAAGGGTTTCTGGAGGGGTGTAAATGACCATCCAAGAGAGATATGTTAAAGGAAATCTCAAAATGTATTACTGTTACATATTAGTATAAATACATACATGATTCAAAACAATCATAATAAATAAATAAAACAGAACCCTGCAGAGGATATGTTTGTATATTCATATATTATGATTGTTTTGAATCATGTATGTATTTATACTAGTATGTAACAGTAATACATTTTGAGATTTCCTTTAACAGATCTCTCTTGGATGGTCATTTACACCCCTCCAGAAACCCTTATATTCCCCTATGTTTTATGAAATTATATAATTAGGGGGAGAAGTGTAAAACTAGGTGCCTACAAGGAGACAACCCATAATTTAGTAAAGTCACTTCTACAAAAACCTGGCGGTCAGGAGAATTTTTTTTATATATCTACCAGCTGCTTTATTGGCCAGCAGTCTGTTTATATGCTGGTGCTGCTGCCAACATAATAGTTAAACCGGAGGCAGCAAAAGAGTAAAGAGGTTGCCCTAGCTAAAGACCATGAAGGCAATCACAGACATAAAATTATGACAAGATGACAGCTGAACTATCTATTGGTATATTGGCAGAATATCTAAGATTTCTCTGGTACGGTTAAGTAGAAAGACTGACTACAAAAAGACCTGTGTTGATGGGCATTTGTTTGCTTCAAGCAAGTTTTTTATTACCATACCAGCCTATGTGAATGTAAAACCCATTTAAAGCAGGTCAAATGCAGATCAGAAGGAGGTCAACTGCAGATCAAATGTGCCCGTCAATCAATTCTGATTGATCTCAGACGTGTTTCAAACTGATGCTAAAAAAATTTAGTTGACTTAAATCAGGAAAGTTGCCCATAGCAACCCGTAATAATTTACGATCACATTCCCAGTGCAGGTTTGTGAATGTAAAGTGGGATTGTATGGCTAGGTATGAGGCTACAGAAATAGTTTACCCATAAATGGCACAACTTACTGCACTGTCAAATACGTCAGCTCGGCTCCTTCTGAATTCAGTGTCATCATTTTCTTGATACTTTGGTTTGTCTGAAACGTTTCAGTGTTGATAGATAAAACTGGCTTCTGAATGTGTTGGTAACAAGTGTCTTCAAGGGGAAACATCCAGGCATCTAATACCACTGCACACCTAAAAGTAAAAGATATATTGTTACTATTGTATTTACTGAGGAAATGCAATATACAGTATATACACGTATATACCGTATATACTCGAGTATAAGCCGAGATTTTCAGCCCATTTTTTTGGGTGAAAAGTGCCCCCCTCGGCTTATACTCGAGTCAGCGCCAGCACCTACTACCATGACTGAGTTGAGATCTTTGGTGTGCTTTTAACCTTACTCTTTCTGTGGCTCCATGCCTGAAATGCACTCCAGAGCTGCATTAGTCACTCAACAGAGTGTTTTAGTATGGTCTGTCATAGAAGGGCGTGGTTGGGATTTTCAGACCCACAAACCAGGGATGCAACGATACCGGGCATTTTCACGGGTGCTCGTACTCGTGAAAATGCCATGATACTGAGCGCCGATACCAGCGCTTTAAATTTTTAAACACGAGCAGCTGCTGTTTGGTCCTGTCCTTGCTGGGGACCTTGCAGTGGCCGTTTACAGCACCAGTCCGGCCCTACATCTCCTCCTCTTCGCTGCCCGAACCCACCCACACAGCAATTGTGAGACCCGCACACACTTACACAGCCCTGGTGAGACCGCGCTGCCCTGGTGAGACTGCACAGCCCTGGTAAGGCCAGCACGCAGTCCCGGAGAGACCACACAGCCATGGTGAGACCACACAACCATGGTGAGACCCGCACACAGCCCTGGAGAGATCGCACCGTCATGGTGAGACCCGCACAGCCCTCGTGAGACCGCCCACAGCCCTTGACAGACCGCCCACAGCCCTGGTCAGACTGCACACAGCTTTCTGAGATCCAGCACATCCTCCTGAGACCCCACACCTCCCTCGTGAGACTGCACACATCCTCATGAGACTCCGCACATCCTCCTGAGACCACGTACAGCCCTGGTGAGAGCACACGCAGCCCTGGTGAGACCCTGCACAGCCTCCAGAGACCCCACACAGCCCTGGTCAAACCCCGCACAGCCTCCTGAGATGCTGCACAGCCCTGGGATTTGTATTCCCTTTACAGCTTGGAGCCAGTGGCAGAACTACCAGGGTTGCAGATACCACTGGGCCCTGTTCCTCCACCACTGTCCTAAAATCATTAGTCTGCATTGTTTTAGAAAAAAGTTATCGGTGCATTCCTGCCACAAACATATACTAGGGCCAATTTGCACAATAGCCAATTAACCTACCGTCATGTGTTTGGAGTGTGTGAGGAAGCCAAAGTACATAGAGGAAACCCATGCAAACACAGGAACATGCAAAATCCATGCACATAGTGTCCTGGTGGTGATTCAAACCAAGGACCCTTATTGCTTCATGGCATAAATTCAAATCATTAAGCCACTGTGTTGCCCCGTTATATTTATAAATATATATATATACACAATATATTTAAATAACTTAATTACTTGCCTGAAGATATCATCCTTCACTAGGCTCAGTAATGCCGTTGCTCCTCCAAAGGAATGACCCATAATAGCCACTCTGTCAAAGTCTATCCTACCCTAAAAAAAAGAGTCAAAGCAATAAAAATATTGTAGAACAACAAAAACAAAAGATGAATGGTCACATAAGGGAGGCATATGGAGTTATTTAATAAATAGTGGGAAAAGGGTATGTAGTTATAGCTAGAAATTTCAAAATACTTTGCTTTTCATGTCATGCTTCACATCATAAGGAAGTTCCTCTTTACATTTCTGTAAACTACTTTATACTTTTAACGGGGATATTCAGAGTTCCTATTAGATTAAAATTGGGGCAAATAAAACGCTTATAAATAAAGAGGATTCAAAATATTACAAAAAGGTCTTTTTCTAAACATCTAACATTTTAAAAGAAAATTTGGAGATATCAAATAAAGATTTCTGATATGATCTGTTTAGAGAGCTGCATTTGTAACTAGTACAGGAAAATATCAGATGAAACTTTTAAACATAGATAGGCTGTTTCCTGACAGCACCGTTTACACCAACGGTCTGCCACAGCTGGCAGAGCAAGGTTATTTGATGTACTCAGTAGTTCAGTATCTCAGCAGCAATGTACACAATCAGGATGTATTTTATGCAAATGAATGTGATCTGGTAGTCGTGTAACAGAACCATATTATGCAATAAGAAACGTATACATGTACAATATTTGCCATAAGGCTGTGTTGTAAGTTAACACTGTCTTATGTCATGAATCAGTGGTGCTATTAACAAAGGAAAATTAAAAAGGCAACAAATGCAATTATTGTAACACAATATTCACCCCACCCCCCCCCTCATCCCCACAAACAATCCAGCTAACTAAAGGTGCCCATACACTGCACGATTCTCGTACGAGAATCGCGGGAAATCCCGCGATCGTACGAGAATCGCAAAGTGTATGGAAGGCGTGCAACCGTTTCTACTGTACGGTCGCACGTCTTCCATCGAACCAGCATGCTAGAAAACCCGCCGGGAATCGTACGATTCTCGGCGAGTTAGTGGCCTGCTGGTTCGACAACTGCCGAACGAGACGGTATGCGCCACCGCACGCTGCCCGTTTGCAGTCATCGTAAGCCAGCCCCTCATTACAGTCATCGGAAGCCCGTCCCTCATGGGGGCGGGCTTGCGATGATCGCAAGTACGATCTGCCTGTCCAAGATGGGCAGATCGTACGTTTTTTAAAGTACTTTACTACCCTTGCAAGACAAAAGTCTTGCAAGGGTTGTAAAGTGTATGGCCACCTTTAGACTGAATGTAAGCCAGGGTTTTTTCCTCTGACAGCAGAAACTTGGCTAATGTAAACAAACAGTAGGTGCTTGTAACCTGCTAGAATTCGACTGGAACACGATGTCAGTGTCTCTGTGGTGATCATTAATGAGAAATGACTTCAGAATTAATTTGGCTAAAGAAGCAATTGATGGCTTGTTTTAAAGCCCCTTTACTGCTTGTTCAGAATGTATAATATGTTAATGTTTAGAGTCTGAACACAGGTGCACATTATTAGGTATTTATCGAGTTAGTGATCACTGCAGAGAAAGGATCCATCCATATTACTGTGGTATCTTACAATTTATCAGATTGTATCCATCATAACAAATAGGATACAGCCAGAAGAACTGGACAATTCTTGTGATCTTTCCACAGAAACATTCCAAGGTGCTATTTCATTTGTCACAGTGTAAACAGCTGTTATGTCAAGACAGGATTTGGATTGAGCAAAAAAAAAAAAAAAAGTGCAGTCAATATTTGCAAAAATATTGTAGTGAAACTGTTTCATACTTGGAAACAGTAAGCTGCTGGCTTCCTAACAACCAGTGGCCCTTAGGGAAGCTGCCACATATAGCAGTGGTAGTAATACCACTACTATATGCATCACTTCCTGCGGGTTGTTTGGCTTCAGTGAGCAGCCTGTTTTGTTCGGAAGTTCTCAAACATGCAAAATTCAGGCTGAACATGGGTTCAGCCTGAACCCAAAGTTCACTCCTACTGACACCCCATTCCAGGGCATTTGTTTTTCTTTCAACTGACCAGCAATGAAAGGGGCACTATGTTACATAATCTTAATCACTGAACTCAGTATGCTGTGCTGTATGGTACAGACTTCCAACCAAAGTGTTGTTTCAACAGCAGCTGGCTGCTAAGTGTTTTAATAATGTTCTTGTGTATTTGCACTTTTGTACTGAAAAATTAACCCCTCTTTATGTTTGTTATTGTGTTCCTATTTAAACAGCATAACGAAAATATAAAACAAAAATACCTTTCAAATGTTTTGTTACAACGGGCAACATGGCTGATTCCAGGTTTTTCAGAGAACCCTTACAGTGATCTGTACCGCTGCCTAGCAGTGATAGGAAGTGCGGTTAACACTGCTCTCCTATCGCTGTCAGACACCTGATCAGTGAAAGCGAATGGGTATCTAAAAAAGCTTAAAACTTTCAATAATGGGTGCCTTGTTAGTGAGTCATCCATTAATGAACAGTAACTACTTATCTCAGCCGTTATCTGCATTCAGGAGCCCCGAATAGCTGCTCATGTACAGTGTACATGAGCAGTGTACAGGGGTCTATTCACTAAGCTGCCGAAGGATCTAGCCGTAGCTTCGGCTGATCCTTCGGCTAGCTTCGGCCCCAGGACCCCTTCGGTTCAGTAGAACCGAAGGGCTACTGTACGGGCTATTCACTATAGCCCGTACAGCTCCTGAAGTTGGCCTAGCGGCTCAGTCGAGCCGAAGGCGTATGCCTCGGCTCGACTGAGCCGAGGTGAAAGCCAAAGTTGGCCGAACGGCCGGCCATTGCTTCTGACAGCTGGGACAGCAGCCACTTGTAGAGAGAACGGCATCCCTGGTTACCAGGTAACCAGGGACTCCATCTGTCATTACACACTGAGAACACGGCGGGCCGCTGTGATATCACAACGGCCTCTCCGGGTTCTCAGTGTGTAATGACAGATGGCGTCCCTGGTTACCTGGTAATCAGGGACGCCATCTGTCATTACTATCCTGGACGCTCTGGGAGTCTAATACGGCTCCCGGCCGCCCAGGAGAGAAACATTTTCTCATGGAAAGGTTTACTCTGCTTGATCGATTGTGGTGTGGGCCTGAGGTGACGAGGAGGACCTCCCTTGCAACCCCGTCTGATGACCACTGGGGTTGGGAACAGTGTGCTCAGGCAGGGGATGCACGGGTGCCGGATGCGGATCCTGGGTCACAATGTTGATTGGAGACCTGGCAGAGTAGTCAGCCGTGCTTGAAGGGGTTAATCCAATGGGAGCGTCCAGAGACAAGCCGGGTCAATTACAGGCGGTCATGCGGAGTAGAAGGGGTTAATCCAGTGGGAGCGTCCAGGGACAAGCTGGGTCAATAACAGGAGGGTAACCAATGGGAACGTCAGGGAGGAAGCCAGTTCAAACAGTTTTAGCCAGTACAATCAGGTTTAGGGACAGGAGCACGGCAGGGACCTCCAGCACTGGCTGAAGATCACTCCGCACTGAATTGGCGGCCCGATGTGCTTAATATAGGCCGAGGATGCGTCACTGCGCATGCGCCGGCGTGATGACGTCACCGGCCCGTATCAGCGTGATGACGTCACGGCGTGCGGGTGGGTCCCGCAGGGCCTACTGGCGTCTGCGCGGCCTGGATGTGCCGGTGGACGCCCCCTTCGTGTGCGTCCCCACACAGGAGTTTGGAACGGGGCTCGGCATGTCCCACGGACCGGGACCCGACAAAACCTTTCCTTGCGATCTGTTTTTTTTATTCTTCTGACATGGGGCCGCAGGCTGCCCTTAGTCGGGAAAAAAAAAAGCCAGCATAGGAATGCATAGCTAGATTCCTATTGGCTATTTCACTTTGCAATAGCCAATAGCAAACTAGCTATTGCACCCGCCCACTGCTGCTGTCAATCAGCAGAGGGGACCTGCAGTTCTCCATCAGGTCCCCTTCTGGTGATTGACAGCAGCAGAGGAAGGGTGAAATAGCTAGTTTGCTATTGGCTATTGCAAAGTGAAATAGCCAATAGGAATGTAGCTATACATTCTATGGTGGGTTTTTTTTTCATTCTGACGGCAGCAGAACCGCCCAGCCAATAGAAAACAGTTGGGCGGAGTTAGCTGTCACTGCTAGCTCCGCCCAATCGTTTTCTATTTTATTTTTTCGACTTTTTAAACTGTTTTTCTATTCTGCTCGGTACCACAGAGGTACTGGGCAGAATAGCTGAGCCGAATGCCGCAGCAGCCGATGTACGGCTGATTTTAGTCGGTGTACGGCTGAAATCAACTGTACAAGCCTGAAGTGAATAGCCGAACAGCGTTTGGCTCACTTCACTTCGGGTCAGTTATACACTTGGCTGCCTATGGCAGCTTTGTGAATAGACCCCTTAGTGACAGGGACATACTGTGTGCATCTCCCATCACTAAGGGGTTAAAGAAGAAGCATTTTTAATTGTTTTTATTTTTTCTTATGCAATATGAATGGGAACATATAACAAATATAAAATAGTGGTTATCCCAATTTGGATACAAAAATGGAAATACATTTTAAGGCAAGGTTAGAGAAAAAGCACATGTAGATGATTAAATAATCTTGCTGATATACCCCTACGATGCCCAAACTGGTGGGGGTAATCACAGTTAATTTGAAGAATTAATTTATGAAGAGGTAATACATTTTCTGATAACCTATGCCATGTGCAGGACTTTTTTTTCTATTTATAGGGTTGAGGGCTTTTAGTTTTCCTTTTTTTTTTTTTTACTTCACGCTATCTACTCAAAGGGCTCTGGTAGTTCCTTAGATTGTGCAAATGGCTATTCTTCCAAATTCATCACTCTTATCACATACCTAGCATTTTGAGTCTTGTACCAGTGTTGACTCTCCAAAAAGTTGTTGTAATTAAGGGACAGGAAACAGAAAGAACAAATACATTTCTGAGCACAAGTCTGAGTGAATGAGAATCAGAAGAACAGAGAAACATTTTTGCCCTTGTTGGCTACATTAAAGTGATATTAAAGTCAAAAGGTGGAATTCTGATTAACGCAATTACAATGAATGCTGCTTCCTAATGGTTTAACGTTTTAGTTTCCTGCAGAAACTGCTGGTACCCTGAGCACTAGCCCTAATATTTTGTTTTACGGTGACTCCTATGCCTTGCAGGGTCCTATGGAGTCACCCTTGTGTATTTTAGTAAGCTGTTTTAGTAAGCTATTTTAGACACAGCAAGGCAAGACACTGCCCTTTTCCCTTCTTCAAGCTAGTAGATTGGCAGCTGCTGGAGACTGCTTTGTCCCTTGGTGATTTTGTACTAGACAGGAAGGTCAGGTAAGTGAAGCTGAGAGAGTTGGAGTCAGCTGTTTGGAAACATGATGACTGTAAGTGCTTAGACTAAAATGTAAATAAATACTTTCCTGGGTAATGTATAATCGTTTGATCTGGACTCAGTACTGAAAACTTCTTTAAAAGGAGAACTATGAGGTGAGTGCTTTTCACTCACCTCATAGTTCTAGCCGACCTGTGACAATGAGACTGTCACAGGTCGGCTCAGTAGATCGGGAGGTAAGCGAACACATACCGGCGTTCGCTCACTTCTTGATCCCGTCACGGCTCTCTGCCGTGACAGGGGAGGGGATGGATTCCCCCCTCCCAGCTCCGATCCGCCAGCGCTGACTGGCGGAACGGACGGGGGAGGGGGCTGGTACAGCTGGCTCTGCCTCTAGATAGGCAGAGCCAGCTGTCACTCACGCAGCTGGGCGGATCTCGCCATCGATGTCGGGATCCGCTCTGGCTGCGGCGTCTCAGTATACCGCGAGCTGTAGCTCGCGGTATACAGAGCTTAGGGTAACGGGAGGACGCTAGTTTGTGTCCTCCCGTTACCCTAAGGAGAACTATGGGGAAAAGCCCTGACCCCATAGTTCTCCTTTTAACTTGCATTATAAGATTCATATCCATAATAGTGAATAGCTATCAAGGCTTTACATTCTGGTGTGTTAGACAGTCCGTTCATTTGAACTGACATGCACTATGTTTTCCAATGCAGTGTACCACAACACAATGCACAATAGTGAAATACTGTGTTTTGTGTTGTGCTATAACACATGTGCGTCAGGTGCATTGTCTCAGTGCCTTGGGCGCCAATGAAAGTGAAGGGCACCGAGACATGCTACCGCATGTAACCTGCATTGTTTTAACGCAGCGGAATGGACACAGCTCTAAGATTAGATCTGATCTGAACTTACGGTCCTAAAAATAAATTATTGGTTTAAAGCAAAAAAAACTACATAATTCTACATTTAATTTTGACTCTATTATGTCTGTCCCAGATTGTTTTTTTTTTTTTTACAGTGAAGCCATGGTAAAATGCTGCATTTTCTCAAGAAAATATATATATATACGTTAAGCAGTGTACTAGAACTGTCAACCAAATTGTGCCAATGGAAAAATGTTCTGCAATGTATTTAATTTTTAATAAGTTCATTCAAAGTAAACAAGTAGGATGCTACTTGTTTTGCATATGAACATCTTATCTGATAGTATGGAGATCAGCTGAAGAATATGTTAAAGTAAGCTTAGTGTTATGCAAAAAAAGAAAACAGGAACAGAGATATCTTCAGATATGGTTTTGGTTCTGATAAAGATGGTTTAACCATTGAAATGCGTTAACCCCTACCTATCCATTGCCTTCGATGATGCTCTGATGTCCAGTCGGCTTAGTGGCATATGACTTTTATTGTATGCATGAACCTACAAGCTGTGTACATACTGTACATGGACTCTTGTGAGTATAAAATTTGCTTTTATACACATTTTTAAATAAAAAAGCGGTATTGCACAAAAAGAGGGCTCTGTTCCTGTCCAACCAATACGTTGCTCATGAGATGTTACCTAGTCCCACACAGTCCTACCCATATACCCCTCAAGCTGCTTCACAGGATGCCAAACAAAAGGGCACAATTATCCACATATGGCAGGAATGCCTAATTGCATCCCAGTATTGCTCTAAAATATATTGTAAAATGTACAGTATACTGTGATAGGCTTCATGCTCCAAAAAAAAAATCTATATTGCCTTACTGAATAAAAACTAGAGGGGTATATCCTGAACCATTTAGGTTGATCCAATATATTCTTATGGCTGCTACAGGATCAAGCACTCCTGGAAAACCCCTACACTCTCTCTCCGATCATTTTTAGATAATATGTCTCACACCATATTCTTTTGAGAAGCTCGTGGCTCGACAAGACCATTCCATGGATAAGTACAATAACATAAGGTTCTACTGGAATACCAATTGACACTGTGACTATTACTCATAACACTGTAATCAAGATAAGCTATTGCCTTGTAGGTTTATGTACACAAATATTTTCTCTTTGTGATTACCTTCCTTGTATACAATGTTATGTGTATTGGTTAATCAATATCGAATTCTCAATATAGAATACATTTCTCAGTATAGAATTCATGTAATTGTGCTGTTATTAATAGTAACATTCTTTAATCTTCTTACCATATTTTCAACTCAACTGTAAAGGCCATCTAAATTCTGCAAGCATAGATATGTTTGAAAGCAATTATTAGAATAAATACCTTTAGAAATTCCAGATTAAAACCTGGCTCCAGGATATTGTTTACTGCCTTCCCTTTGTCTATGTCCTGTAGAATCCTCACAGTTTGAACACATTCACTTGCTCTTTGATGAACCTAGTGTAAACATAATTTAATGCAAAGCATTATACTTTGTAGTGTATTGAACTATTAGTAATTAAAAAATGTCACTTTAAATTTGACACTAACAAACAATCACAGTTCTCTCCATTTGTATCCCTCTGCTGCTGAAATGTAATAAAATCAAATTAAATATGGACTTTTATGCCATCAAAATGTTCTCAATAAATCTGCACTTTGTGGATTCCTAATGAAAGGTTCTCAAGCATGTTACTTCTTAGAATCCTCATTGGAGGCAAAAATAAACATTTTGTACATCTCTCCAATACATGCACATTTCCTCATTTTTTTATCCATTAAAAATGCTGCAAGTACAGCTGCAAATACCTGTTGACCTGCCAGAAATTCTTAACTTCCAGGTGGGGTTGACAACACAGAGCCTTTGCTGAAAATCCAAAACCCGTGTAACTAGCCCTGCCTGCTGAACTACAGAACTCCGTCTATTCCCCCACCCCTCACTGTACATGCATACATTGATTTCTCTCTAAGCAAAACAGTGCTGTTGCCTTGATACCCAAGTGCATACCCACACATTGTGTAGGGAAAGGGCTCTAGGCAGAGAAGTCCTAGGTCCTGCATACATCAGTAGGATTCACCCAGTAGCTGTCTCTGCAACAACTTTATATGCCCAGAGATGATGCCATAAGGAGTAATAAAAACATTAACGCACTAAAGGAACCAGGTAAAGAAAAAATAATGTTGAGGCATGCTCTAAAGTGAGGTTTTGGGGTAAATTTAGATAAGCCTGGGCATTCACTCTAAATGGAAAAGGTGAGTCTGGTGAATTAAAAACACTCAGTTTAAACTAGTTGGCAAAAAGGGACAGTTTTTTTTTTTTTAACATAAGCCAATAGTAAACAGCAACATACAATACCATTTACCTTGTATTAATAGCCTGATAACATTTACAAGCTGAATAATGAAACATTCCAGAAAAAGTATAACATATATACTTGACATGGTGTTCTCCTAAGCAGGGAATGTATCTGCCTATCCACTACAAATGTTTTGCCATTACTGAAATCATGTTCCATTTGTCTCCAACAGCTGCTGACCAAAGTTTGCTTTCCTCGACTGTCCAGCTTTTCCAAATCATGCTAGCATTGCACATTTGTTTGTAAATGTTATCAAAAACTCTTTAACAGAAGGTATATATAGTTTAAATGTAGGGATGCACCAATACCATTTTTTCAAGAGCGAGTGTGAGTACAAATACTTTTCCCCAAGTACTCGCCAATACCCATTACTCATACCTTTTGTTTAGTGACAGTTTTTCTAAAACAATACAGACTAATGATTTTAAGACAGTAGTGGAACGCCAGGGCCCGGACACAGCTGCATCTTCTGCGACCCTGGTACTTCTGCCGCTGATTCCAAATCCCAGCAATTCATTATATAGCAATGCAGAATAATATGCAGCTATACACTCTGTGTTGCTCACCAGGGCTGTGTGCAGGGTCCCACCAGGGCTGCGTGCGGGTCAGTGTGGGTCTCCCCTGGGCTGTGCGGGCGGCTGCAGGTCTCTCCCCAGGACTGTGCAGGCGGTTGTGGGACTCCCCACTGCTGTGCCGGGTCTCACCATGGCTGTGCAGGCGGCGGGAAGACGGGGGAGGAGATGTGCAAACGTACTGGCGCTGTAAACAGGCACCCCGAGGTCCCCACAAGCCCTGCCGTGAGGTCCCCAGCAAGTGCGGGACCTTACGGCAGCTGCTCGTGTTTAAATATTTAAAGTGCTGGTATCAATGCATCCCTATTTAAATGTAGTTCTGAATTATTTATCGTTGTTTTATTATGTTATTATTTATGGTATTCCTTAATTAAAGAAGAATATTTTGAATGAAAAAGAGCAGGTAACTGATGCAGTAGAAATATTTTGTGAATATTAGATGGTTTCTATTATTCTACAGTGTTTGGTGTATGAATACTTTTGGTAAGAATTAATAAAAACAGATAAACAATACCTGATAGTTTCGTAGATAAAATTCTTTCATTTCAGGCTGCAGTTTTTTAAATGGGACCCAAGACTCCTGTAAGGTTGAACTTGCATCTTCTGAAGATACAGAAAAATGGTACGTAGCACAGGCTGAACCATCCCTGTGAAATGATGACAGACCTCTTACTGATGAACGTAATAAACTGTATTCTTAGACATACTAAATTCTACAAAGTCTTTATACATTGGCTCCTAAGTTTTTTTTTTACAAATTAAGACAAATAGTAATGAAACTTCAAATGTTTGAGATTCATATCATCATACATTCAAATGTCTCTAGGGCTTTTGTGTATTACAGCAGAACAGGCAATAACCCATCAAGGCAGTGGTTTAGAACATCAATTATTACTGATTAGAGTACAAAATAACTTTGCAAATATAACCTATTGCCTATTTTTTTCTTTTCTTCCATTATAAGAGCTGTCATCACAGAACATTATAATCTTCTGTTTACATTCATGTTGCATGCATCTGCACTGTAACTGCACATAATTGTTTTCCTAGTGGTGACTGGTTTTGTTCAGTTGCTGAAAAATGCCAGTCGCCTATCTAGTGTGAACAGGCCCTAAGAGGGCAGAAGCAAAAATTAACAGAAGAACCTGTATACAGTAGATTCTAGACTTTAACGGAACAGACCAGTGACATATGTAGTCTTCTAAAAATGTAAGTACACTCCAAGTAAATTGTTGACTTCTGCAGCATATTTGAACAGGCAAACATTAGATCTTCTTTTAACCACTTGCTGACCGGGGTGTTTACACCCACTTCCTGTTCATACCATTTTTCAGTATTCAGCGCTGCGGTATATTGACTGACATTTATTCCGTCATACAACGCTGTACTGAAATTAATTTTATAAATTTTTTGGGGGGGCAGATAGAGCTTTCTTTTGGTGGTATTTAATCACCACTGGGGTTTTTATTTTTTACTATATAATGAAAAAAGTACCGAAAAAAAAACAAAACTGTTTTTCCTTTATTATGTTAGGAAACATTTATTATTTCCCAATTTTTTGGTAAAATATAAAACATGGGGTCACGACGGGCAAACCTGTGAGTTTCTGTTTTTTTCTTTCTTTTGGGTATCCCTCTCTCACAAGAGTTTATTTAGCAAATAAACCATAAAAAGACTTAGGTGACTCCGCCCAGCTTCTCTTTTACCACACCCATAAGCCAAGCATTCTGCCCTGAGATTGAAATGCTAGCCTGCCACATCATCTTAGAGTCATTCTGAACTAACCAGAGAGAAGAAATGTTATATAGAGTAAAACACTACAACATACAGTACTTTATGCCTACACACCTGTGTTCAACTGCAGCCACTAGAAAGCCATGAGATGCCAGTTCTGCGCACAATGAAGAATATGTTGTTCTGGAAAAGAAAAGAAAATATGTAAAATTAACAATACATCTACAGCAGAAAAATGCTGTATTGCATTAGGGAAAGAGTATGAATAAATTACAGACTCACATTCAATGTGACAAAATATTAGGTGAGCAAGATGCAAAATGTTTCTATAATACCCTCTTAAAGAGATGTGAAAAGGATTTAACTTGTGCATTTGAAAGACAGTCGACTGCCAGACTCTCTGAGTACTTAAGCAAAGAAATATACCATATCTTAATTCTAAGAGATTCCTTTAAAGAAGTATGATGAGAGTGAAAAACACTCATCCCCATAATTAGAGCCGATGTATGATACTGAAGCTGTCACAGATCGGCTCTATTGATCGAGAAATGAGCGATCACATACCACTGATCGCTCAGTTCCCGATCTTCTCCCTGCAGAGAGTGGTGACTGTCAGTCACTGCTCCCTGTAGGGATTCCCCTGCACTGACTTGAGGAACAGACAGGGGAGGCGGCAGGCACAGCTGACTGCCTCTAGAGAGGCAGATCCAACTGTCAATCAGGAAGCGGGGTGGATCCCGACATTTATTATTTGCTACATTGAATAAAAGCGATTCTGCACATGGTGGGGGCGCTTTGTTCTTTTTTTTGTAGAATTCAAGTTAAGGTTTCCTAGTCCTTGTGAGGGAGCAGCACAGTGTGCGAAGATCGATTTTGTGATTTGCTTATGGGGAGAAGGTTGATCAACTAGCTGTCACAAGCGCCAGGTAGCTAACATCGTTTGAAACTGAGTATGGTCAGTAGCTGTAAATAGGTAAATTCAGTAGCTGTAAATAAGTCAATTATACCACAATTGCGCAATGTTTACATGAATTGAGCTGGCGATACACTGCTTGAATTTTGGCCTGCTGACTTGGCCAAAATTAGACCAGCATGGGGCCCCCTCGGGACACTTCCTGTTCAAGAAGTTGATTTTCCAATCAATTCTTGTAAAAGGAGCAAATCTGAAAATTCTCAGCTGAACAATGACTGCAGCCAATCAGCTAAGCGCCCATCACACACTTGCCACTGTCACAATGCAAAAGTCCCTCAGGGTGTTTAAACAGTGTTTTCTCCCTGCCGGGCTGAATGAGAAAAAACGGGCAGTCCATGGCCAGCTTTAGTCATGACAATTAGCTTACCTAAAACTTCCAAGCCCATGAGAAAAGATAACAAGAGGTTTCCTGTCCTTGCTAGGGATTAAGTCTCCATTCCATATGACAGGTATAGGAGGGTTCCCTGCAAATAGTAAAACAAACATAACATAAATAGATGTAAAATCCTGCCACCAGTCACCAGCTTCTGTGCCAGGCCAGTGGTGAGCCAAGTAAGCATGATTTCTATAACTAAACAAAAAAAAAAAAACACAAAAAAAAATTCTTGAAACACCAGGACTGTGAACCTCACAACCATCTTAGCCTCTTTATTTATCTCAGGCAGTTGTTTGTGTGTGGAGCTAAATTAATACACAGTGTGAGTTTTAAAGGCTAGAGGAACAGAAAAACTGAGGTTTTCTCATAGAAGTTATTCTGGAATAAATTTAATCTTCAAGCCGGAGATAGAAATATGAGACCAGGTGACCTCTGACTCTTTCAGTACTTAAGCAAAGGCATATTCCATATTTTAAGAGATTCCTTTAAAGCTGCCCATGGCTAAAAGAGGGCAATTTTTCATGCAGCAAAAGATCCAATAGCTCTTAAAGGAGAACTATGACATGAGTGATTTCCACTCACCTCATAGTTCTAAGCCGACCTGTGACAATGAGACTGTCACAGGTCGGCTCAGTAGATCGGGAGGTGAGAGAACACATACCGGGTTCCCTCACCTCTCGATCCTGTCACGGCTCTCTGCCGTGACAGGGGGAGGGGCTGGATTCCCCTCTCCCCGCTCCGATCTGCCAGCGCTGACTGGCGGAACGGACGGGGGAGGGGGCGGGTACAGCTGGCTCTGCCTCTAGATAGGCAGAGCCAGCTGTCACTCACGCAGCTGGGCGTATCCCGTCATCTAAGTCGGGATCCGCTCCAGGTGCGGCGTCTCAGTATACTGCGAGCTGTAGCTGTAGCTCGCGGTATACTGAGCTTAGGGTAACGGGAGGACGCTAGTTTGTGTCCTCCCGTTACCCCAAGGAGAACTATGGGGAAAAACATTGACCCCATAGTTCTCCTTTAAGTTAAGCTGTCTGCAAAATGCCTAGCTAACCTTGTAAGTTTATGTAAACTGAGAGAGTAGGGGAAGAAGTGAATTAAAGAAGCAACATCGAGTATTTCATTAAACAAAAATCATGAAACAGGACTGTGAACCTCACAACCATCTTAGCCTCTTTATTTATCTCAGGCAGTACTTCATGTGTGGAACCTGACTTGCTGCCTCGATGAGTACACTCCCATATCTCCATATTCCTAATCCAAGTATGAATGTTTCCCATTTGATAACTTTTTTTTTTGCATCCTATAAATGATTGAATGGAAAAGAAGCTCATTCGATACACATCATTACATGGTGAAAATTAAAAATTTCCAGCCTGCTACTTTTTTTCCTTTTTCTATCTTACTTCAGAAGCAGCACATTAGAACGGAGGGTATGTCTCTTTCCATCACATATCCACCCAAAAAACAACAGAAATGAGCAATGAAAAGTTAAGTTTTTTCATAATTGCAATGTCATATTTGCTCCCTATAAATGAATAGGATCCCTAAAAAGTCCATTAAATTAACAATCATGACCTTTTGCTAACATTGCACTTACAGCTGATTCAAATATTTTAGTAACAATTCCTGCAAAGCATTTAGGGTTAGCTCACACCAGCCACAGTGCGTTCCGGCCCGATTGGTGCTGGAACACACTGGATCCCATTACAGTAGGCTCACTTTGCTTTGGTTGCGGGAGGGGGCATGGCTGCAATGACATCGCCCGCACCAGAACACACACCCGAACTGAACACATGGCACATCAGTGCCTGCGTTCTGGACCTGTGAAGTCAGAAAAAAATGCTGCTTGCACTATTTTTTCAGACTGCACCAAACCGGAACGCAGGCACTGATGTGCCACATATTCCGGTGGGGGTGATCTAGCCCTTACAGAACCCACTAGGGAGGGAACAGAACAGAGAAGAAGATACAATTGTTTTAACTTGACCTTTATGTGGTTTCTAAAGCCCCTTTCAGACGGGCAGTCCAATCAGTTCTGTCTGTTCGTTTTTCAGGCGGATCTGATCTGAAGCCCAGTGTTAGTCTATGGGCAGCCGGATCTAAGCGGACGTGCGTCTGTTTACATCCGATTACCCCCAACTCTGTCCAAGTCTGGAAAACCAAACGGAAAAGAGTTTCATTTTGACAGACTTGATCATGCAGATTGGGGGTAATTTGGCTACCGTTTGTCTTCATGTTATCAGATTGTTATCAACAATAAAAGATTGTGGACTCTAAGCTGATGGTTTGGTGCTGTTTCTCCTTTCACTGTTCAGTAATGGGGTGAGGGCAGAAAGGAGACTTGTTAATGTTGCCGACCTCACCATCTGCGCTTGTGCACACACCGGGATTAATGAGGAAACAGCCATTTATTTACAAAATATTAATTTCTAATTGTTAATTGTGACCGTTCATAATATGCCATCCATGGCTGTAAATGATGGATGCATTTTATGCACAGTCACAATTAATATCATAACCAATTACATAATCATGTAATTGCTTACGATGTTAATTGTGAATGAGCATAAAATGCCATCCATCATTCACTGGCTTGGATGGCACATTATCAACGGTCACAATTAACAATTTGGGATGAATACCTTGCAAATAAACCCCCGTTTCCTCGTTAATGCCGTCTGTACGCAAGCGCAGATGGTGAGGTCGGCAAACTCGACTGGGTCGGCATTCTCGACAGAACTCCGGACACGTGCTCAAACACCTGACTAACGTTCTGGGTGTCTGAGCTGGGCCGCAGAGCCACCTGGTGGCAGGCTTGTAGATTGCCGTTCTGAACTCGAGCACACAAAAACAAACATTTACCGAGAAGAACATTAGTGTATACAATCCATTCCAGCAGAATACTTGGTTACCAGTAATTACTGACGCTCCATAGTGGACAAGTTTGCTGTTCCAGCCGCGTACAGCGATCAAACCAGCGAGGTATTCGGGACGGGGAAACCAGCCCGGCTGCTTGTGAAGAGGAGATGGACTGCAGGGGTAGAAGAGCCGGAAGAAGCTGCCCTGCGTACAACACACAAGAAGAGGTGTCACTAGCTCATATCAAACAAACACTGTAGACGAGTTTACTGCACGGTATAACCCTGCCCGCTCCTTCTTCACCTCTCTACCAGCTCCCACCATGACATCTGTACAGCCCACCGGGTGCGGACCCGTTGCAGGCGGCAATCTTAGGGACACCAAGTTCCCCATGTGTGTGTGCGGCTGTGAAGCGTGAGCAGAGCAGAGTCCAGGGGACACAAGAACACAAAGTCCAGGGGACACAAGAACACAAAGTCCAGGGAAGCTGAGATTGCCTTCCCTGACTAGAGGGATGTACTTCCAGTGTCACAAGGCAAGGAGTCATGCCTGTACTAGCACCAAGGGCTTTTCCCACACTAGGAGGCTTTACTATCCTTCTTTCATAGAACAGTATGGAAATAGACTCGGCCAAATCTCAGCACATGTGCCAAATCTGGGGCCCCATGTCATCAAGGGGCCAGCTGAGGAACCAGAAAGACATGCCGACTCTCCATGATGTCACCAAGCAAGATGACGGCGTGGGACAGGACCTGTGGCAGAATAGCAGTGCAAGAGGTGAAGACCATGCTGCATTTGTTGGCTTTGTAAGTTTGTGATTACATGATTAGAAGACCATTCAAGATAAGTGTGTGGAGGGGAATAGTTTGGGAGGTTGAAGTTCCTCTACACAGCCTTGGTTCTCAACTGGTGGGTCGTGACCACTGGCAGAACTACAAGGGTCGCAGCGGTCGCAATTGCGACTGGACCCTGGTGTTCCGCCTGTTGGGGGGCCCAGAGAGGAAGCAGAGGGCACGAAGCTTCCTCGCGCTGTCCCCCCCTTCCGGTTAGTGCCACTCCTTCCCTGCCGCACTCTGAATGTACAGACGGCTGTGCGGGGAAGGAGAGGAAGCTGCGCCTGTCACTTGGCTGCTTGGCGGGCTCCGACACAGCAGGCACCGCCAGGCAGCACATTCTTCACATTCTCAGCTGGGAGAGGACGGATCCTCCCCACTCAGTCCGGCCCCCTGGCCGCCAAGGATGAGGCAGCTGCGCCTGCTGCAGGAGTCGGGTAAGGCCAGTGGTTGGCTAAAAAGCTGTTCTGATTATTTACATTTTTAATGTATTGCTGGGACTTGTAGTCATATATAGCTGGTGGTATTCTGCATTGATGTATAATGATTGTACAGCGATGCAGAAAAGCACCAACTGTGTAGGACTACAAGTCCCAATAAATGGATTATATTATTAAGTAGGGACGCACAAGTGTGTGTGTAGCTGTTATTATTATTTACATTAGAATGTATTGCTGGGACTTACAAGTGGTTTTCGGGGTCCCCCGCTCCTCTTGGTGACCTGTGACTACGGCACAGGAGCTCACCATAGAGCCCCTAGAGCAGACGTAGAACGTCTGCTCTGTGTGATCACTGAGACCGTGGCAGCACCACCAGCCGTAACTTACTGCAGCTGCCACAGAACCCTCCCTGCGTCCTATGGTCAGGTGTGCCTTATGGAGCGCAAAATAAAAAGTGGGTTTCGGCCCTGTATTCAGTGGGTCACCTCGTGCCTTCCACTTCTTTAGGCGAGAGGCTCCTCTGCCTCCCCCTAGTGCAGCACTGTCAGTTCTCACGCCCAGCAGCCATTCAGAATATGCTGCCCAGTGCCAAGTGTCAGCTGGAGGTGGGGTATGGGCTGGAGCTATGGCCATGAGGGAGCTCCATTCATACATGCATTGCTTACAGCTCCCTCACGTGTCCTGTAGAGGTGGCTGGACTGGAGTGACATCGCATTCTGGCTCCCAGTACCTCTACAGGGTGTGCAAGAGAGTTGTACAAGCAATGCACATATGAATGGAGCTCCATCACATCACAGCAGCCCACACTGAATCCAAGTCTGAGGATCCACTCCAGCTCTCGTAACATTTTTTGGAGTGTGTATATGTGTGTGAGATTGTGTTTGGTTGGTTGTGTATGTCAGTCAGTGTTTTTGAGGGTCTGTTCACACTAGTACAGTGCGATAATCGAACAGTCCTGTGATATTAACGCACTGTACCACGCAATCGCACCTACTATCCGTTCTGGTGCAGGAGTTGTGTTGCCATTAATTTCAATGGCACCCCAAACGCACCACCCGCCTACAATTCAATCGCCCCACCGGAATGCGCGGTACCACAATGCCGTGCCTTCCATTGCAGTGCAACTTGGGTTGCGACTTAATGACCAAGGTCAAATGTGGGTCCTGAGGTTACACAGGTTGCGAACCACTGCTCTACAGGACCGCTTCTGTGTTGGAAATTGTGTCACACGTGTAAGTATTGTGTTGCAAACAAAATTCTGTCTGAGGCAATTCTGCAACAGATTTGTATCTGTCATATGTTGCATAACTGAACTGTCGGGGTTTATTAAGTATGTGTTAAGCACAGCACCAGAGTGAAATATGGCGCAAAGAACTACCTGAATTTGACAGAGGAGTCGGAAAAATGATGCAGCATGTTTTTGAATTTGGCAGAGACATTTCTGAAGCTGCATTAGCCCAGAATTCTGGGGCAAACGTGATACTGAATTCCCCTGATTGTGCTTACGATGATAATAATAAAGAATAACCTCTGGAATTCAGAAAAAGTGTTGTAGAAATCTGTCTCCCATCCGTGCAACAAATGGAGCACCTTGCAACAGATTCAGACAGAATTTGTAATAATAATTTGTAATAGCCAGCGCCTGAATGTAAAAGAGTCACACTTAAGAACTACCTATATTTGGATTTCATATACTGTATGTTGCATATCATCACTGGATTGACTGTAAAAACAGAGGGCTGTGCGATGGTTGTAAGGTCTGTGGCCAGCATTAGAAGGAGGAAAGGGGGAGGAACGATATGCTAATTGGCACATGCTGAGTGATGACATTGACCGCTGTGCATTGTGGAAGTTGTAGTGTGGGAGAGCTGGGTGCTCTCCCACTACTCACATGAACAGTGGCCGAAATTAAAGCGGAAATAGCTGCAAACCTAAGGAACTGCGGGAGTGCCTGCCTTATTTTAAACAGCAAAATAAATGTATTTTATTACATGGAATGACAGCACAATTACCTTTGCTACTGTAAGGAGAGCAGAGAAAGCTTATAAAAGATTAGACTTTTGTTTCACTTTAACAGAGTATCAAGCCCTTTTCCCTGTCTGTATAATAGGCTTATATTACAAATAATCTTAGTCAGGTTTAAATAGAGATAGAATTATTCAGCAATATGACTGCCTCCTGTAATTGTTTTTTTTTTTCGAGTTAGTAGTTTTAGTTTTTATATAATGTTTGTAAGCCAGAGTATCATTGTTTTGAATTTGAAAGAAATGCTTTTTAGGATTTCACTTTCATGTGTGTGCAATATTGTTGTTAATAGCTAAACAGTCGCTGATGGCAGCTATTATCTTACAGGGGGAGTCAAGGGAACTGTTCTGGGATAAATTCATGGTCGCTAAAGCGAAATGAGCTTATGGCAGGACAGTAAAAGCCACCGATGTAAGGCTTACTGACGCGGCCAGCTGGAAGCAGTTGTTCCGCCGTAAGCCTTACGTCGGTGGCAGTGGAAGGGTTAAAGGTCAGAATTGCTATAACAGATACTGTGAACGGTGCCCTGTGGTAGCAACTGTTTCTGTGTGCAAAGATTTATCTGTGTGGTACAAGTGATCAGAGAGTATTGCTGGCAAGTTATTCCCTTGAGGCAATCAGGCCTACTAGTACTTGGTTGCCCCAGGATGTATTACACTATGCTTTACACTCTGGGTGGGTCATACAAGAGGATGAGCAAGGATAGAGTAAGAGTACCTGTAGTACAAGGAATAGGTGTCCACAGAGGATGGCAGGAACAGGTACCTTGGCTGGCACGTGAACAGAGGGACATGTAAAGTGGTCCAGGCAGAGACATGGACAATAAGCAGGCAAGGGTCGGTCTAGGCGGCATTCAAGATACATGTTCAGTAACAAGGCAGAGGTCAGTCCAGGTAGAAGGCAGGGACAGGGTCAGAAAACAGGCAAAAGATTGATCTAGGCAGTAGACAAGAGACAAGGTCAGCAAACAGGCAAGTCAGGATTCAAGTACAACTATGGCAGCTAGTGACCCATGTATAAAAACCTATCACGAGCTGTGGGTGCAGGGCTTGTAGGTTTAAATTAGGCAATGACAGAAAACAAAGGTCAGTGGGAGTCAGGCAGGGAGAATTAAAGAAGAATTCCATGAATTATTAAATTAACCCTTGCAGTGGGGCTACCCCTGCACTCCTAAGTGCTCGCAGCTACAGGCCGCTGGTCAATAGGGAGCCAGAGGTGCAGCTACATTGCTTGCAAAAGGATGAGGGCAGTGCAGCCGCCTGAGTTATTACAGAAGCACTAAAAAGCACACACAGAAGTCTCAAGGAAAGTCCTCTCCCAAAGGAAAAAATAAGCTTCTGTGCTAATGAACATTGTCAAGCCATATTCCAACGTCGTCATTTAAAGTGACACTAAACTCAGGAGTTAAATCTTAAACATGCATTCAAGTACCTTAACTATTAACATAAACATATCTTATTTGTGTATCACTCAGCTGTAGATCCTCAAATCATCTCTGAATTGATGCTGACCCTGTCCTTCCTTCTGGAGGGTGGCTACTTTTGTTCCCCATGATCCCTGTGTGTGTTGTAAAATAGCCACCGCTCCAAGCTCACTCCCATGATGGACTACAATCTCATGTTTAGTTTACTAATTTGTATTGCGATTATAGTTCATCACAGGAGCGTGCTTGGAGTGGTGACTACTTTACAACACACACGGAGACCATGGGGAACAAAAGTAGCCACCCTCCAGAAGGAAGGACAGTGTCAGCACAAATTCAAAGATGATTTGAGTGATACACAAATAAGATACATTTTTGTTAATAGTTAAGGTACTTGAATACATTCTTATGGTTTAACTCCAAGTTTAGTGTCATGTGAAAAAACAGCTGCAGCCCATTATTACTGTAGTGCATATGGACAGGAATAGACTGTAACGATGCTGTGGGACATTAATATGTGAAATATTAATTAATATGTAAATTAATGGTGAAAGAAGGTGAAAGCACTTCTCCCCTACCCCCAATTCTCTAAGAAACAAAATTGTGCTACCTACATGACATTCAGTAAGGGTTTACATCTACTTTAACAGACCTGCCAGTGCCTACAAGCTTTATACTAATCTCTCTCTATGCAATTTGTCAGAAGCA